GTTTTGGGCAAAGAATCAAGGTATTTTATTATGGGGTTTGAGACAAGGTAAGAAAGGTCTAATCTTTCCATATGTCAAAAATCTATAATTCTTGAAGAATTAAAAGAATCATTAATTCATTTAATATTCGAAGAACTAAAGATTAAAATTTATTCAATTGCTCCACCTTAGAAAGTAGCATAAATTCAATCATTTAAAAGATTAAGCAAACATGAAAGATCAAAGACGTGTTCAAACAAAACAATCCTCTAAGTGCAAATGGTATATGCCATGCCCCCTTCTTCGGCAAGCGTCTTACAGTTTTTAGAGGAATGTTTGGGGATTCTTATGTGGTAAGAGCTAACAGCTTCAACATCGTAGCCCTTAGGATATGGGGATTCTTTTCTTAGATCATCTTGGCAGGCTTTGTCCTACAATCAGCTGATCAGGCTCCCACTGTATTGTTTTCAGTTTTTTTCTTTTGATGTTACAATCTTGCTTCCATGTGGTGTCATGTGGTTAAAAAACTTCATCGAATCCTCCATGAAGAAATTTCATGTTTATGAAAATGCTTAAAAATGAAATGTAGATGCACAACACAAAATGAAAAAAATGCATGAAATGTTCGAGGCATTGATCCAGAAAAGTGTCCATTATTATAAATAATCCTTATTTCGACAAAAATATTTTATCTTGTAAAAGACATAAAATAATTAAAGGTACATTCGGACTAAATCCTCTAGACCCCGAACAGCTTCCAGCAGGTTGACAAGTCTTCTGTTTTCATCTGTCACTGGTTGTATGCCTTGTTGGACCACTCCAGCTTCCCTTGCCAGGCAGTGTAGATGGCGAGCTGCCTTCTGTACTTGATCTAGGAAGTCTCGGATGACTGCGTCTCTGGCCTTCACCCTTTGTTGTGCTTGCTCCCAATGGAAAAGCCACTGTAAACCTCTGTCGAAGAGCACTATCTAAAGCTCGCTCACTTTCTTCTTGAACCCATCTACAATAGCTTCTAACTCAGCTATTGTTTTGTCATCTCTCTCATGTTGTTTCTCCAGATTAGCCATCTGGATTCTCAAGCATTGGTTTTGATGCTGACTGTCTGCTAAGCGCCTCTGGGCAATCTTCATCTGTTCCTTCCAAGCTCTCTCATCAGGCCCTTTGAACTTTCTTTTCAGGCTATGAGCTTCTTCTTTCTAGTATTCAGAAGCCACTTTCAACTTGGAGTTATCCTTAACTTTATCTTGATACCCATTTCTCAAGTCTTCGAGCTCAAAACAAACTTTTTTCTATTCTTTTTCAAGTTTAACTGCTCGATCTTTCTGAGAGTCGGTATCTAGCTTCCACTGATAGCGCTCAGCTTCAAGTTCCTTTACCCTCTGCTTCAGCTCATTATTCACAGCTTCAAACTCTATCTTAGCTATCTCGAGTTCAAAAAAGACAGGCCTGAGATGTTCTTCCAGGGTTCAGGTGTCCTCACAGTCTGGCACCGGGATATTGTCATTTTTTCTCAATCTTCGCCACTCCACATAGTCCGGAGTAAGCATGTTTCTGGCAGCTACAACATCCATCCGGAATACTTTCTTCCATGAATCGACTGCTTCTTTGATCATCTTCTTATAGTTGTCATTGTGATACTCAAACTTTGATTTAGCTAGTCCGCATTTTGCTGGGACAAATTGACGTGCCCTATAATGTCTAAGTGCTAACAATGGAGCATACCCAACTGTATCCCAAAGTTCAGGTAAGGTCATAGTGTCAGAGTCCCCACATTGGAAAAGAACGTCACTGAGGAACAACCAGGGGGCTCTCCAAGTAATATATCGGTCTTGATAAATGAGTGAAGACTTTCATCTACTTCTCTTTTGAAGTTCCTTCATGCCATTTCATGGTGATGAACTCTCTCAAAGGTGAATACGTAGTGCTAAATCGGCGGTAGGCAACCCAATTAGTCTTTCAGAAGTGGCTGTGAATCCAGACTTGAAGGAGCTGAACACATCCAATGAATCTACCTCCGTCAGCTCTTCGGCAATGGTTGAGAGACCGAAAGGTCTCGGCTAAGATGGTTGGTGCTGGGTTGACTCGTTTCGGAAGTTGCTCAAACAGTTCCACCACGGTTGCGTCAATGTATCCCAAAATCTTCGGAAAGATGATCAAGCCATACAGACCTAGTGCAAAAAAGGTCTATAGTCTTCCATTCATCAGAGTGATCATTCATTAGTTTCCTTATGTGGATCCACTAAATTCTTTGCCCGTTACCTTTGTTTCGGAGTTGGTCAGTCACCCACTTTTCATCAACTCCTGCAATCTTAGCCAATATGTTCTTGAAAGGCTGACTCTTGATGTGTTTGATGTAGGCTTGCTCCAGTTTAATGCTTTCACAGTGCAATAGTGTATTATACTCCTCGATGGTAGGTACCATGTCCTCTTGGTTAAAAGTGAAGCAACTGTATCTCGGGTTCCAAAATTGAACCAAGGCTCTGATTAGGGGCTCACCGGTCTTAACATGAAGCAAAAGTGCAATGTCACCATACCGCTGACTAAACTTCTGTTTTCGATCATTCTTCCAACTGTCCCAGATGTCTCGAAGTTCTTGCAAATTGTTCTGTTTTAGGCTGATAGAGGCATAGCTAACAAGCTCTGACACATAACTTCCTTAAAGACTGTCTCCCTTTTCTTTCTGAGTCTTCTCGGACCATAGTCGTATATCGGGGTTTTTAATCTCCTGTATTACAACACCTTTGTCCATTAATGCAGATTATTTATGGTTAACGAACACGTTTTCTTGGTGGATCAACACCTCTTTTGAATGATACAGATGATGGAAATAAAATAAAAGAGAGGAAAAAATGAAAAGAGTTAGTAAGGTAAAGATAATAATCAAAGCAATCATGAAAATAAAAGTCCTACCCCACATGATATCTACCCCACATGCTTATTATTCCTACCCGGACATGATCTCTATCCCGCAAGTTGATTTTGAACAAGTCCTAACCCCATAAATTTCTAGTTCACATGTTTTGAACAGAAAGTAAAGCAGAAAATAATTTTGGCATCCTAGGGTTTAAAACGAGGATTTAGGGTGGGGCCTAACTCCTTGTAGTCTCCGGGTTTAGGTTCTAAAAAAAGGTACTCGAGTTCTCCTTACCGGTGCCCCCTTGGGCTTACCAGACCCTTAGTCCTAAACCCATCACAGGCTTGTGTGGACTAAGTTAAACTCGAGAGGAAACATTCTCTTATGCCCATACGGAGAATAAATTCACACGAAGGCATAAGGTATATGAATCCCGAAGGTTACTTGCTAGGCCCATACGATGAATAAATTCACACGAAGACATCGCTTTCACCCCTACTTAAAACGGGTTCGGAGCTCAGGTATAGAGCCTTTGGATGAAAAATCTTTAAGGGATGAAATCATTAAAAAACGGCCAGTACAACTATTTACTCGAAAATATAATCAAAAGTAAGTAATAAGGATCGAAATGTTACCTTAAAATTTAAACTTACCCTTTTCATTAAAAAAATAACTGGAAATTACCTTAGCCTGACTCACTTACTTGTGTCCCCAGTGGAGTCGCCAAGCTGTCGCAACTGTCTTTCGGTTGGGCCCCAAAATTGGGCTTCGACTTAAAATATGGATTGGAGTCGCCACCGATCATTTATTTAAAAGAAATGGGTTGATCGGATACCATATTTCTTACCTGATCTGCGTCTTTCCAAAGATGTGTCGGGTTTGGGAGTCGGTTACGGTCAATGAAGGATTAGCACCCTGGAACCGTCCTTTCGGTACTACGTAATTTCCAGTTGTCTTTGATTAAGAAAATTGTAAGTTAAATTAAAAAGGTAAAATTTGATCCGAATTACTTACCCTTAATGAGTTTACAGAAATACCCTTAAAAATAAGATTTTAAAAGAAAATAATAATAATAAAAGAAAGTAACAAAACTAAAGAGTAAACCAAGGAAATAAATGAAACCAATAATAATAAACATAAAATAATTGGATGAAAAAAAAATGAAATTGAATAAAATAAAATAAATGAAGATAAAATATATATACAAAAAGAATAAAAAAGGTAAAATGTTTTTTTTAAAAAGAAAAATAATAATAAGAGCAAAAAAACTAAAAATATAATGAAAATAAATAAATAGTATAAATAAAATAATAAAAAATATATATATAAAAATATAAAAATGTATGTATAATATAATAAAATACTAAATAGTAATAATAATAAATAAATGAAAAATAAATATACATATAATATTAACTAAAAAAATAGTAATCATAGAAATATAAAATAAAATAAAGTAAGAATATATATATATAACGTTAGGAAAATATAGTAAAAAACATAGTAAATAAGTAAACATAGATAAAAAATAATAATAATATATATATATATATATATAATAATAATAAGAAAATAATATAATATAACGTAAAGAAAAATGAAAAAAAAATTATAATAAATAAATAAATAAAATATAATTAAATATATACATATATACATATAAATAATAACGGTTAAATTAAAATAAAAAATGAATTAGAGGTCAAAATTAAAAGTCAATCGAAGAAAAAACGATAAAACACGCGGATCTACACGATCCGTTTATAAAAATCCGACTAATTTTTCAAAAACACAAGCCTCGGGGACTAGATCTACAAAAATAGATTTTGAAAACGTCCCCGTTCATCGGCCAAAAACACTTCTCTCAGTTTTATTTCGAAATCAAAACACATCAAAGGTAAAGAAAAATAACATGCGAATGTATGAACTTTACCTTTCAAAATATAAATGCTTCGAAAAATGGCTACGAATTGCTTGTAATTTTTTACTTGATATTTCGTATATCATCCTCTAAATGTGTTATAATAGTGAGTTACAATGACTATTTATAATGCTTGTGGATTTTATCTTTAGGAATTTAAATGATAGTAGAATTCTATTTTTTTTTTAGGAGTTCGAATCTTAGAAAAATTTTATCCTATTTTTAAGAGTTTGAATCAGGACGAAAATGTGTGTTGACACATTCTTCTTCACCCTAATCTGTTTCTGCAACGGTGAATTCATGCACTGCAATGGATCCATCGGAGACTGCGATGAAGCCGACGAGATGTTAATGGAATCAGAAACAAGCCGAAGGTTTCTCGAACAGAAGAGGTATATATCTCCCGGCGCTTTGAAAAGAGATCAGCCGGTTTGCCCCGCCGCCTCCGGCGGCTGCCTTCCTCAACCCTCCAACCCTTATAATCGAGGCTGCTCCAAGTACTATCGTTGTAGGTCTGATTCGTGACCGACCGCTTGTTAGACCGGTTATACCGAAAACAGATCCAATTTGAGATTTTCATGTATACCGCTATGTATAATTTGTTTTTTGTTTTTTTTATCATTATAAATATCAACTAATTCTTAAAATAGCTTTACATATTTTGTATGACATGAAATCATCATTCTTGAACTACTCAGCGTTAAACATTCAAGAAAGAAAGTAACTGGGTAGTTTATTGAAGCGCAAAATTAGGGTTGTTAATGAGACTAAATAAATCGTGATTTATTCGAGATCGATTCGGTTAAGGTTCGATAAATATCCGGATCGAATGAATTCGACTCAAGCTCGACTCGAATTCTTAATGAGTCGAAATGAGCAATTTGATACTCGACTCGAAAAGTTCGTGAGCAGCTCGAAAATATAATATATTAAGATTTTATTTTTTTATAAATAAATTATTAATAATATTAATATTTATGTGTTGATTTTTTTTAAATACAATAAGGTTTCTATGTATTTAAGGTTTATGTTCGAGTTTGATGATTCAATCTTTTTAAGTTTAAGAATTTTTTTTTTCATTTCGAGCCTTTTCGAGCTGTTTACGAGCTTCAGTTCTGGATTTTAAGTTCGAGTCGAGTTTAAAAATTTTAAGCTCGCGATTTTTCGAGTCGAGCTCAGTAATACTCGAACTCGACTCGGCTCGTTTACACCCCTACACAAAACTAAGGGAAAGTCTCGGTTGCCACAACCTTAATATATAGGCTAAGAGAATACGCTATCGGAAATATTATTTTTTTAACATATTCAGTAAAAAATTATCTAAACTATTATTATTTCTATCGAAAATATTATTGTTGGACGTTTTATCAAAAATATTTAATATATCCGATAAAACGTTACCTAAAATATTATTTTTCTATAAAAAATATTAATATTTGACAATTTGTCAAAAATATTAAAAAATATTAAAATTTTAGATAAAAATAATATTTTTTAAAATAATATTTTATCAAAAATATTAAAAAAATATTAATATTTTTAAAAACACTTTAATTAACGGTATATTAAATACGTTTACTATAACTATCCTAAATCGATATCACAACTCAGTGCAAGCACTGTTTTTAACCACACAAAAACAGTTCCAGCTGACTAACAGCCAGCCCTAGAGGTCTAACAACCCAACTACTCAATCGAGTAAGCCACACAAACACGTGCCTCGAAACCATGCACGCCAGCTATGCACGTTATACGTTTAATATTCACCCTGCTTTCTTCAACTTCTACAGACTTCCTCCAAATCAAAAACACACAGCTTGTTTCTCAGACCTTTAAACCTGCTGACTGCAAGAGGCTTGGTTAGCACATCTACAACCTGGCTGTCCGTTGGAACGTAGTTTACTTGAACCTCACACGCTGCAACCTTTTCAAGCACAAGATGCAAATCTAACACAATATGCTTGCTCTTAGCATGCAATATAAGATTTACTGCCATAGTTATAGCATTGGTATTGTCACATCAGACTTTGGGAGCTTCAGTAAGGTTAACTGTCATTTCTGGTAATACCGACTTTACCCAGACAACCTCAGAGGTTGCATCAGCTAAGCTCCTGTGCTCAGCTTCAGCTATCGAGCGTGAAACAGCACGTTGCTTCCTCGAGCCCTAAGCGAGAAGATGACTCAAATTGTGAATGCAATAGCCGAACATAGAACGCCTGTCATGCACATCACCTCCCCAGTCCGAGTTAGCAAAGGCATTGATATTCATCATTCCTGGAACCTAGGCGCGTGGAGGTACTGAGCAGCCTTGTTGACAGAGAATGCAATGTCAGGACGTGTATGGCAAGCATACTGAAAATCACCAACTATCCTTCGATACTGTTGTGGCTCGCTTAGTACCTGACCCTCAAATTTGCTTAACTTAGTTATTGTTGCCATGTGAGCAGTTGCAGGATTGATATCGAATAGATGATTCTTAGCTAAGAGTTTGACAAGAAACAGCCTTTCACTAAGAAATAGGCCTTGCTCCGTTCGATGTACCTCTATTCCCAGAAAGAATTTAAGCTGACCAAGGTCTTTAAGAGAAAACTTCTCATGAAATTGCTGTATAACTTGATTAACCTTTAATTGCTAACTTCCAGTCACCAAAATGTCATCTACATAGATTGCCACATACGTAATCAGCCCTTGACCGGTCTGCAGAAATAGAGAGTAGTCAACATGGGATGACTCAAATCCAACGCCAACTAAAAACTCCTGAAGCTTGAGAAACCAATTTCTTGGGGCTTGACGCAGGCCATACAAGGCCTTTTGAAGCTTGCAAACCAACACTTTTCCATCGGGTGAAGCTTCTTCAAAACCTGGGATTTGTTTCATGTACACATCCTCATTCAATTCGCCTTTTAAGAAGGCGTTGTTTACGTCTACCTGACACACTTGCCAACCATAGGTAACACGTAACAGCCAAGAAAAGTAGGATATTGACTGTAGAGAATCGAACCACAGGACTGAAAGTGTCCATGAAGTCAAAACCAGGTATATGAGAATATCCTTTGGCGACCAGCCTAGCCTTCAATAGTTCAACGGACCCATCAGCATTCTTCTTAACCTTGAAGAGCCACTTACACCCAATAGCCTTCCTGTCAGCTGGTAGGTCAACCAGCTTCCAAGTGTTGTTATTAACTAGGGCATTAAACTCGGCAAGAACAGCCACTCTCCAGTCTGGGTCTTCAAGTGCAACATGAATAGCAGGAGGTAGGTCTTTACATTGTGAAGCATAGATCTTTGGCTTGAAGATGCCAAGCTTGCCCCGTGTGACCATAGTGTGCTCGTTCCTTAATCCTTACCTCCCTTCTATGTGCATGCTGCTGATTCGTAGAATAGAACCAACCCGTGAAAAATTCTCGATTTGCGTATCACCAGGCACGTGAGTATCCTGCACCTCAGCAGACAAGGAGTTTGGTTCATGTGAAGTAGAACCTGATCCCATAAAAGAACCAGCAGGTTCAATAGGTGAACCGTTTATTTCATTAGTGGGCAAAACTCCAACATCTAGGGGCCAATATTTATTGGATCCGCATTTATGGTCTTGGTATTAATGTTGATAGTTGATGTGTCAGGCGATGCAGGTGGGGTTAACTCAACCAGATTGGTCACAACACGCAAAGGAGCTGATTGGGTGCCTTGAACTCTTCTCGTGACAGACGCCTTATTAATCTTAGCAAAAGGAAACATGTGCTCATTAAACACCACACTTCGAGAAACAAATACCCTACCCATTTCGTCCATGCACTGATAGCCATGGTGCATTGGTGAACAGCCCAGAAACACACGGGAAACATTCACAGCTAAAGACTTTGAGAAAGCTATAATCTGGAACCTTCCCATACAACTTTTGATGAGGTGAAATGTTACCCAAAAGCTTGATTGGCATCCTATTAATAAGATACAAGGCACTTAGAACAGCATTCGACCAGTAGCTCAAGGGAAGAGATGCATGAGCTAGCAAGGCAAGGGCAGTCTCAACTGTATGCCTGTGCTTTCTTTCCACAATCCCATTTTCCTGGGAAGTATGTGGGCAAGACTTCCTCAATTGAATATCAAGAACCTGTGTAGTTGCTTCCAAAAAACGAAATTCACCCACTCCATCGGTTTGTAATGCAAGAATGTTGGAAGAGAATTGGTTCTTAACAAGTGCAGCAAACATCTTAAAAACAAGAAGAACTTCACTTTTATTTTTTAAGAGATACACCCAACTGTTTCTTGCATTCAAATCAACAAAGCACACAAAGAATCTAAAACCATTTGAGCTTACAGGGACAGGACCCCATACATCAATTTCTTCCAGCTCAAATGGACGTGAATACACAGTACGTGAAGGGAAGAAATGAAGTACATGACTTTTGCCCATTTGACAGGCAGAACAGACATTAGCTTGATCAGAAGATGTAGAAACATTCGCGACGGTCTTGACAATATCCACAAATGGGTGCCCAAGCCTTTGATGCTATTTCCAAAACTCTGAATCGTCCTTCACTGAAACAGTACACACAGCCACGGAATCACCTGCAACTTTGCAGTCAAAGCTATAGAGGCATTCATCAAGGATACCCCTCAACAACACAGATCCCGTACATTCATCCTTAATACAACAAGAACGAGCGTGAAACTCAAAATAAACTGAATTGTCAGTAGCAAATTTTGCAACTGACATAAGATTCTTTGTTATGCGATGAACACAAAGAGTTTGATCAAGCACAAGATTTCGAGACTCAGAGGAAATAATTTGCTTACCAATATGATAGATGCCTATAGGCGAGCCATCACCCAGATGAACTTTGCCCGAGCCAACATAGGATTTCACTGATGCAAGGGCCGAGATATTTCCAGTCACATGGTGGGTGGCTCCCGAATCTGGAAACCATTTGGAGTGATGTAGTGGCCCATCAACGGTTAAGGCATTGATTTGAGCATTCTCGGGATCGATAGACTCCTCTTGACCCACCGTGTTACAAAAGGAGAATAGGTAGAGTCTGAACCAACTTGAGCATCAGAACCATTCTGCTGAGTTGGAATACTCTTAAAAGACTGGTCATATCTATGCCAATAACGGTCAACGAGGTGACAAGCTTCCCACAAAGCTGGCACTGTTGCCGAGAACGCCCTTTGTATTTAGAACCATTGTGTGTATGTTGTGTTCCCCCATATTTCTTGTTGCCATGGTTCTGAAATGCTTGAGTGTTGTTGGCATACCTTGTAAAGTTCAGACCAACAGAAAAACGGGAAGCATCTTCGAGTCTACTCTCGGCATCAATGAGCACGGATACATTGTTTAACGAGAAAGGTTATTGACTTACCGTAATAGCTGCTATAGTGGGCTCATATTCCACTGACAACCCATTCAAGATCATAGCAATGTGATCTATCTCTGAAATGGGACTGCCACAGGTTGCCAACAAATCACAAAGCTCCTTTATCACCATCGTATAATCTCGCATAGACTGATTGGTCTTCTTCATAGACCTCAGTCGACAATGGAGATTCATAAGCTTCGTTGTGGACAACTTGGAATATAGTTTAGTAACACCATTCCAGACGGCTGACGTTGTATCAACACCCACTAGTTGAGGGAGAATATTCGGGCTTACGGTGGAGAGCAACAAAGATGCTAGGGAGATGTCCTGCTTGACGTAACGGAGGTAGGCAGCGTTCACAACAAACTGACCATGAGCATTGAGAACCAGTTTTTCTGGAACTGGCATGGATCCATCGAGATACCCTTCAAGGCCGAGCCCTCGAAACGTGAGAACAACTTGTTCCTTCCAAATGAAATAGTTAGAGTTACCAACAAGAAACGCACAGCAAGAAGCCGAACAAACTCCAGAATCGAGATAGGCGAGAGATACCATGTTAAACATTCAAGGAATGAAGTAACTGTGTAGTTTATTGAAGCACAAAACCGATTATTACAACTCACTGAACTCAGTGCAAACACTGTTTTTACTTTTTAAACACACAAAAACAGTTTCAGTTGACTAGAGGCTAGGCTTAGAGATCTAACAACCCAACCACTCAACACGTGATTAATCCACAGAAACAAGTGTCTCGAAAACCACGCACGCCAGCCATGCGCGTTATATGTAACACTCAGTACCATGCGCTTCTCTTTGCTGTTACCTGTTTATTGTTTAGGACTTGAGTTTGAGCCCAATTTAATGATAACTGTAGATCTCACTGATTTTGATTCTATTTATTTAACTTAAGAGTTAATATCAACTCGAACAGGATGATTTAAATATAATTTAAATTTTAAAATAAATATAAATATTGATTTGAAATTCATAGTAAATAAAATATTAAATTGAATAAGTGTGTAATATCAAGAATAAAAAGTATATTAAGTCTTATTAATAAGGTTTGATGTTTATCAATAATAGGTTGATGAGATATTAAATTTTTTAAGTAATATTAGAGATTCGAATTTTGACATTAGTAAATAAAACAAACTGGATTGAAAATGTCACCCTCACTTATATTGTACTTGAATTGTATTAGTCGAATAATGAATTTCGTCCTGCCTCTATAGTATTTAAATTGTATTAATTTATTAATGAATTGAATATCAATAGTTAGATTGACGTTTGAACCATTGGTATTTATATGTGTATATATAATGTACAACACCAATAAGCCAAATGTATTTTTTCATTAAATATATCTAATATTCACTTTATACTAGATAAGTGTACGGACAAAAAACAAAACAAAAATCATTAAATCCGCTGATCCAACTGATGGACAGGAAACAAAAAAATTGTTGGGTTCGACCTTTAACCTATTTTTTAATATTATTTTATATTCTCTATAATATAATAATATAATCTCTATGGGCAGAAAATGAAAAAAAAATTGATCATTTCAACCTTCAAGATTTATGTCCAAATATATTAAAACATAAATATAAAAATACAACATTTTAAATATATGATTTTATATATAAAAAAGACTTATCTCAGATGTATATACCGATTCTCAAGTCTGAGACATCAGTAGCAATCACTAATAATTAACTTGTTGATGAAGTGAAAGCCAGCTAGCACGCATTGAAATTATAAGACATAAAAATATATTATTAATAAAAAATATTTACATTATTATAAAGTTTTAAAATTCATAAATAAACCATCGTTTCAACTTTCAATCCATCCCTATCCACATCAGCTTTGTCGTTGCAAGCTATCAACCAAAGAAATACTGTAATCCAGGGAGGCAGGGACTGAATTTTCTTTTAAAATATTAATAGTTAACATGGACGAAAAGAGAGGTGTTTTTACTTAAAAATCATTCCAATATTCTTAAAAATCATTCCAATATTATAATATTATCTGTTAAGTATTATTTTTTTAAATATTATCGATCTAACACCCTTTATAATAAAGAGCATCTCGTGCGCCTTCCAAGAGAAATATTGACATGACACCAAGTGAGAAGACATGTTTGAAGAGGCATGTCTTTTAGAGTTTTATTACCACTTCAGATTCTTTAAAAACATTTAAAAAATATGTTTTAAAAAATTGAAAAAAATATAAGGATTAACATCGTAATTTAATACATATTAATTCCATGAGTTGAAAAAACTTAATAAAGTTAGTTTATATAGGCATATTGAAGTGTTTATGTTATGTTTATTAACGATGTATGATAAAAGCTAAAATGTGTATTTCTTAACTTTTTTTCTAAATATCTAATGAATCTACTTATATATTATTGTTAAATTACATTAGATTAATATTTATTATTAAGGATTATAATAATTAAAATTAAATATTTTTGATATATTAATATATTTAAACACTTATTTTTAATTATGAGTTCAAAAAATTTATATAACACAAATTAAAAATATTAATAGGAAGGAAATGTAGGAAGAAAGAAGGTAAGAGATCATCATTTTCTATTCTAATGTATTAAAATAACTTTTTTGAAGTGTTTAGACAAGAGAAATATGAAAAAGTTAAAACTAAATTTACATTTCATAACGTTCGTATGTTACGGTTCAAATATGCATACTATGCGAATCTATAACAAAAACTTAGTTAAAGTACAAATGGTACAATGACTATAGGATAGCATTTTATTGAGTTCATTAACTATTAAAAGTTACAAAATGATTTATCGGCCATTGAAAGTTGCTTTGTTGAGTCCATCGACTATTAGAAATTACAAAACGGTCACCCAACTATTAATCATATTTCAAACTCGTTATTTTTAATTAAAATCTTGATGACTATCTGAGGTATACGTTAACCTACTAATTGTGATATGATAAAATTTAATCTCATAATCTCAAATGTCATTATATTACAGTTACTATGTTAATGTCAAACTCAGATGATCATTAAATTTTTAACGAAAAATAATTAGTTTAGAACATAATGAATAGTCGAAGGTCAATTTTGTAACATTTAATACTTGAGGAACTCAACAAAACAACTCCCTACAGTCGATGGATTATTTTGTAACTTTCGATGGTACATGGACTCAAATAAAGCATTATCTCATAGTCTGGAGACCATCGGTATACTTTATACTAAAACAATTTATTAAACTCGATATTACCGCCTTAGTATCGATATTCAACTTTAAGTGTCAATATCATTATAAAAGGATGGATTTCTAGTGTGTCAATTTACTAGTATTGATACCATGGGATTGAATATCGACATCTCTCGATGGGTTGAGAATTGATACCACCACATGGATCGATGCCTAAGAATAAGATTAACAAGAGACTTTTCTAACTAAAAATATATATAACGAGTTAAGCAATTATAGCTATGTGAATGGACATCGAATGCTTTACGTTCTAAAATTGACTACAAAACCTATTTTAACTTGAGTGAAAAAAGGTACTATCAATTTTGACATGTTTAATTTACATATTGTTCTAACTTGCAACAAATGATACCAAGATATTCATAACGTTAAAGCATTGTAGCACACTCAATATGAGGATCAACTTATACAAAAGCTTCCATACCTCCCGTAAATTAGAGGAACCATCAGCAACTTCAGTAACAATAGTTGCAGCCATAACACCTGTACGGCCAAAAACAGCCACTTAATCAGCATCTAGCGACCCGTGTATCATATACATGAACCGCCTCACGAATTGAATGAAATGCTGCAGTTGAAGCGCATCCTCCATGAAAATATGTTACCCAGGAACTTGGCATACATTTTTTTCAGGAAATAAACATGCATACGAGTAAATTGCCAAAAACATTTTGGGGGTTTACGGTCTAAGGTAGCGGGAGAGTGGCTTAAAGGTTAAAAGGAATAAAACTTTAACTGAAAAAGATTTTGACCGGGGAAAATTTCGCTAAGATTGAATAAGTAGCTAGCTTGCCTGACCAAACATGATTGTTTGAGAAGCTAGCCTGACCAAACATTCCTCCAAGACTCCACCGAGAACATGAAGAACTAGAACGCAAACATTATAATATAAAGTTTAAGGCTATAAGATGATTAATAAAAAAAAGTTCAATTCGTTTTGGCGTTGCTCCTTTACAGCAAAGAGAAACTTCAGATACTCCCAACACTGAAGACTAAAGAACATAAAAGGAGGAGAAACTAATGAATCATCAACCATAAGTTCTCCGAGAACGCCACAAAATAGACCCATTCCAGTAAAATACAAAATTACCAAACTACCCCTTGAAACAATAACCCCAAAAAGAAATTTTCTAATGAACTAACAATGGAGACTCAGAGAACAATTCCCCTCCAGCCAAAATGGCATCTTTGATGGACTGATGTCCTAGAATTTCTTTAATAATACATTTCCCATTAGAAAGGTCTTTGCAAAACACTCGAACCATGTTAAACACCTATAAAGTGCATGAGAAATATACATAAAAGAAATGAAAAGGATCAGCTTACCTTCTTTCTGAAGCATAGAAAGAAATTGACGTGTTCCCCCTCCTACACCAAAATAATGTTTCTTTCCAGCCATGTATACAACTCCATGTGGGCGGATAATGCACTGCAAATTAACAATGCTCAAAGCTAAGTAAGAATTTACAATTAACAGAAATGGTAGAATTACTCAATAAAATAATACCTTCTTTATAAGTCCATAGAGATTCCTTTGAGCAGAGATCGAGTAAATCGTCTCAGCCATTAGAATAACATCATAACCAGTATCTTGACCATGCTCTGCGTTAATTTCACTTTCATTAGCATGAGGAAGTAATTGATGAATCTCACCCCAGTCACCAGTAAAGAAGCGAGCTTTGGATGCGGTGGCTGGTTGAGACTTGTCCAAAAGATTTGCATTTACATTTGGGATGGTGAGACACCGGAGTACCTCAGCATTGAAGTCCTGAAAATGCACTTCAGCTGAACCCTGAAGACAGATAAAAATGATGATGAAATTTTACCAAATACTCACGTCAAAACATAGTTTAGTCAAGCATGCATGAATTTACCTTGAGACATGAAAATATCCCAGGAATCCGTGGCCACATCCAAGCTGAAAACAATTAGATGAAACTCAGCAAAAAGGACAAGCCAAGATATTAATGAAATCTATCTAGATCTATATTCACAGATTCAATATTTCAAGTCACTATTATTAGAAGTCAAATCTATTATCTATAAGAAGGAAAATGGCAGTTTCTTCAAGTCAAATTGTCCAGGTGATAAGAAACCAGAAACCAAAGCTGAATACTATGTATGCTAGAAATATTAGAATGTCAATAATGTATTAATATGCCACTCTAGTAATATGTAAGTACAATTGAGGGACCTGAATAAGAACAGCTATAAAGCATAAGCTACACTGTTTTAGGCAGAAAATCATCAAACAACAAAACCAGTACAAAAGAAAATTTCCCATGAACAACGTATGGGTGTTGGCCAGTATCCACAGTAACACATAAGTCAACTAATCGAGCTATTAGTGTGTCAAAAAAAGGTTGGAAGTAAAAACCAATGACTTTGTGCAGGCTTGAATTATGGTTCCACTTTGTTTTTTAAGAATATTCAGTAAATACATAGCAACATGGCATTACATTAGGGACCCTAATAATAACACAAACAATCTATCAAGTCGGTGAGGATGACAAACAAGATTTCAGAAGTGAAGCCAATATCTTGGAGTGCCATTTTTGAGCAATATACAATCAGTTGGAATAAGGAGCCCACCTCTAACACTAGTTTTCCCTCAAGTGATAGATGGTCATTTTGAATCTCAGATTGCAGAGCTTTAACAAGGTCTAATGAGCCTTCCCATAGCTTAAGTCCCCCTATACACCCAAGAAAAGCGGAAAAGGAAAAGCAATCATCACCACGTTTTCGTTATTTAAAAAGATCCTCAAAATGCATTCATCAGAAAAAGAAAATCAATATGAAAGCTAAAAATGAAGTACAATAAAAAGATAAAAGAGGAACATCATTACAAACCTTCATAGATTCCAGGGACTAAATCAGAGTTAGGCAATCCAAGAACCTCATTAGTACTCACCCTTCCCTAAAGAATGGAAAACTTAGAGTTTAGCATTTTCGAATTTATAAAGACAATATCTATCTACAAGAGAACTTTGATAAATCTTATGAATTATTATTCATTTCTAAAACTACCTCAATACAAGCTTCATTCTTTTGTTCTCTTTAATAAACAGAGGTTAAAAGGTTCACCTTGAGTAAAGTAAGCCACCTAAATTGACAGGCTCCACAGTGTATTTCACAGAAGAAGAAATCTACTTCAACTACGAAATCAACCAATCAAAAAAAAAGTTAACTCAAAAATCAAAGACAAAAGTAAGTTTAGAAATGGGAACCTCCGAGGATAGGACTTCGATGGAGGGAGGAGGAGGTGGCAGCGGCGGCTCCAACGACTCCAAGAATCCTAAACCCAAACTAGGTTTACCTTCAGCAGAATAAAACAGTTGAAATTTACCGTTGGTTGTCATCTGTTACCTTCAAATAAACACAGTTGCAGACCAACAATGGCGGCCGAACCGCGAAGACGAGAACTTCTGTACTTCTTTTAGTACGTGGGTTACTACTTCAGGTCCTCGATATTGGACAATGGCCCATTACACTAAATCCGTAGATAGGGGAAAGTGAAATTAATGGATAAAAAAATAATGGTATTTAAAGTCCTCAAACTTTTATAGAAAAATCGATGTGGTTCTTAAACTTATTTTACATTTAATGCGCTATTTTTTTACCAGCCCGAAACCACAAAAAATATTCATTGTAGAGCTTTTAAAAAAAACATTTCCTCAACACATAATTTCTTTCTGGGTAAATTATAAATTGTATCATTGTACTTTATCCTATCTTTAAAAGTTTTCAATTTTCTCATTAGACTTATGCATCGATTTTTTTTGTCACTGATCTTTACTTTCTTTCCTATTTTGCTCAATCATTCGTTTAAAAAAAATAAAATTTTCACCAAAACCATGTTGTTTTGCATCTATATAACATCTTATTTTAACGCAGTTAACTGTTTAACAGTCAAGTGACAAAAAAACCCCTAATCTTTTAATTTCAGTGAGAAATTGAAAATATTTAAAATACAATGATTGAAATAAGAGAGAGTAAATTTTAATTACCAAATTTGTAATTTACCATTTCTTTTTTCATTGTCATATTCAACTTCTAATGTCTATTGCACAAACCAAATGACTTTAATAGTCAAGGGAGTAGTTGTTATCGTCAACACACATTTTTCGTCCTACTAGGATTCAAACTCCTAAAAATATGATAGAATTTTAGGATTCAAACTCCTAAAGATATGATAGAATTTTGCTAGGATTCAAAAAATATGATGGAATTTTATGATTTAAACTCCTAAAGATAGGATCCACAAGCACTATAAATAGCCATTGTAACTCACCATTGTAAGACACGATTTTACACACAAAACACAGAGGAAAGCACGGAAAATACAAAGGCAAAGTTGTTGTAAACGATTCGAAAAGGAAATAAAAGGTAGCATCTTTTTTTACATTGGTTCGTTCATTTCTCGCATGTGCATGTTATTTTTCTTGAGATTTGGTTCGAATAACCCAAAACGTGGGTTGCGCCGATGACTAAAAAGGGGTGGGATTTCGAAGTTTCGAACCTAGATCCACCCCGAGGCGTGTTTATTTTTTAAAATATTTAATTCTCCCCCTAAATCATTTTTTCCTACTTTATTATTCTTGTTATATATGCATATTACTTTCTATTAATTTTATTATATATGTTTTTTTATTAGTGTTATTATATATATATTTATATATTTCCTATTTTGCATGTATATATGTATATTACTTTGATTTTCTTTTTTTTATTATTATTTTACTTATATATATATGCTTTTACTTTTTTATATATTTTACTCATTTATTTATCTATTTTTATATTTATCCTATTTTTATGTTTTTATTCTTTTACTTGTTTTATTTATTATTTGCATTATCATTTTATTTTATTTAGTTGTTTGCTATGCATATATTAGTGTTATTGTTTTTTTATTTTATATATTCTATTCATTTTATATTTACTTATTTCTTTCTTAATCTCCTTATTTATTTGTTTTACTTTATTTATCATTTATTCATCTCTTCTAACCCATATTTTGACTTTTAAAGGGTATATTTGTAAATCCGTCAAAGGTAAGTAATTTTGGATCATTATTTTATCTTTTAATTTAACTTGTTATTTTTCTTAATTAAGACAACTGTAAATTACGTAGTACCGAAAGGGCGGTTCAAGGGTGCTAATCCTTCCTTGACCGTAACCGACTCCCGAGGCCGACATATTTCTGGTAAGACGCAGATCAGGTAAGAAATAGGGTATCCGATCAACCCATTTATCTTTAAATAAATGATCGGTGGCGACTCCAATCCACATTTTTCAAGTCGAATCCCAATTTCGGGGCCCAACCGAAAGACGGTTGCGACAGCTTGGCGACTCCGTTGGGGACACAGGTAAGTGAGTCAGGCTAAGGTAATTTCCAATTGTCTTTTTAATGAAAATGGTAAGTTTAAATTTTAAGGTAACATTTCAATCCTTATTACTTACTTTTGATTATATTTTCGGTAATTAGTTGTACTAACCGTTTTCTCAATGATTTCAGCCCTTAAAGTCTTTTTTCATCTAAGGCTCTAAACCCGAGCTCCGAACCCGTTTTAAGTGGGGGTGAAAGCGACGCATTCGTGTGAATTTATTCACCGCATATGCCTAGCAAGTAGCCTTCGGGATTCATATACCTTATGTCTTCGTGTGAATTTATTCTCCGCATAGACATAAGGGAATGTGTCCTCTCGAGTTTAACTTAGTCCACACAAACCTGTGATGGGTTTAGGACTAAGGGTCTGACAAGCCCAAAGGGGCACCAGCAAGGAGAACTCGAGTACCGTTTTTTTTAGAACCTAAACCGGGAGACTATGAAGAATTAGAGCCCACCCCAAAACCTCACTTCAAACCTAGGCTGTTTTATTTCATGCTTTACTTTCTGTTCAAGCATGCGAACTAGACAAATATGCGGTTAGGATTTGTTTGAAATTAGCATGCAAGATAGAGATCATGTCCGGGTAGGAATAATAAGCATGTGGGGTAGATCATGTGGGTAGGACTTTCATTTTTATGATCGTTTTTGATTATTTTTCACCTCACTAACTCTTTTCATCTTTATTTTATTTTATTTTCATCACTTGCATCATTAAAAAGAGGTCATTGATCCACTAAAACGTGTTTGTTAAAACTCGAATAATATGAATCCATGGACAAAGGTGTTGTACAAGAGATGAAAATACAGAGGATAGTCTACAGGCGACTATGTATCATATTCAATCCAGAAGACGTGGTGCCACAATTGAAGAGTATATCACTCTGCTGCATTATAAAAGACCCAAAATGAACCGGGTCTACATCAAGCACAATGAAAGCTTATCTTTGAAGAACTGACTGGCAGAGGTTGCAGGGGCAAGATGAAGGTTATGTATCTCGGAAGTCCCTTTGAACACAACAATGGTAAATGATAGCTGAAATTGGAGACCATTGCCGGCGAATTCAAAACAGATTAATGAACTTCACATAGTTCCTATCAATTAAGGGCTCCAATGACGAATTCGTTGGGAACAGGCTCAACAAAAGTAAATGCTCGAGATGCGATCATTCGAGACTTCTTGGACCAGTACAAAAAACAACTCAATATTTTACGGTTCATCCAGAGAGGCCGGAGCGGTTCGACAGGTTATTCAACCGGTGAAAGACGAAAGCAGAAGACTAGTCAACATGTCAGAAGCTGTCAGGATATTTTTTTCTCTTAAAAGATAAACATTTTTGTCCCCAATAAGGATTATTCATAATAACAGTCACATTTCTTGGATCAATGCCTCGAACATTTCATGCATTCTTGCATTCTTGCATTTTTGCATCTTCATCTACATTTTTAAGCATTTTCATAAACATGAAATTAAATCACGGAGGATTCGATGAAGTGGTCTTAACCACATTACACCACATGAAAGCCAGATTTTAACAATTAAAGAAAAACTGAAATCAGTACAGGGGGAGCTAGATCAGCTGATTGTAGGACTAAGCCTGCCATGATGATCTGAGAAAAGAGTACCCATCTCCTAAGGGCTACGATGTTGAAGTTGTTGCCACATAAGGATTCCCAAACATTCTTCTGAAAACTGTAAGGCGCTTGCCGAAGAAGGGGGCATGGCATATACCATTTGCAGTTAGAGGATTATTTTGTTTGAACACATCTTTTAAACGATTGAATTCATGTTACTTTCTAAGGTGGAGCAATTGAACAAATTTTAATCTTTAGTTCTTTGAATATTAAATGAATTGAGGATTCTTTTAATTCTTCAAGAATTATAGATTTTTGACATATGACAAGATTAAACCTTTCTTACCCTGTCTCAAACCCTAGAATAAAACACCTTGATTCTTTACCCAAAATAACTCATTGTCATTATCAAAAACCAAATTTTGACATTACCTCCATTTGAAATTCTTGAACATTACCTTTATCTTTTTGATACACCCACACCTTTCTTTGAGTCAATAAGATCACACAACTGTCTTTTTAGACTCAAAATTAACCTTTTTACCATTAAAACCCAAGCATGAGTTGTTCATTTGAACATGAGCATTCTTCCAAGATACAGTTTGGGGCATCTCGCCAGGAGCCTGAACATTGAGACATGTTGGGAGCAAGGAGCAGAAAAAACAATTCATTCGAAATAATTCTATCACGCATTAACTACACTATTTTCATGTGAATGAAATTAATCCTGAAAATCTATCCCCCTAGGGATACCTCTTCTGTGAGGACTTCCATGTATGAAATGATGAACGACTTTCTTTCTTTATCCCTTTACAACAGGATAAATATATATCCTTGTGTCCCCTTTGAGCCTGTAGTATTTTTCTTCTGATTCAACCCTAACCAAGGATCACCCTCCACATTGGGGGGCAAGGTGGAAGAAATCTACTCACATGAGTGAAGACATCAATCAAAAGGAGACACCAAAAGGTGGACCAAATGGCAAGTGCGAAGATCCAATCAAGAACAAAAGAAAAAAAGAGCAAAAATCAAAAAGAAAAAGGGACAAAAAGCACATGCAAAGATTCCCTAAAGACAAATGGCACATCAAGCTTCAAACTATGAGATTGATCAAGCACAATCATTCCCGAATCTCTGAATCACTTCACTCGAAGATCATGGAACATCCAGAGAAAATCCAGAGAAACACATATGAGCAGATCCAAATTGAGCAAGACAGGATTGAAGGCATCAGAATGAATTGATCCTTGGTTCAACACCCTGAAACACTTGTTTGGGCCTATTTATCCTTTCTTTCATAACCATGAGCCTTGGCCTACATTACGTGCCTTAAAAGTCCCTTCTAATCATACATGGATTTCTAAACAGAAGATACTATCTTCAGATTTCATCCCGCCCATCAGGATTAATCTTTGTTTGCAAAAAAACAATGTAATTAATGCTTGGTAGAAAAAATAACAAAGGGGGGTTCAAGACGTAAATCCTGAATAATGTCTTGAAACCAAAGGAGGGTTCGAGTTGAAAACCTGAAAAGGCGGCTCGAATATAAAAATTGTGCAACTGAGGTGATCACGTAAATTCCTTGATAAGGCATCGCACAATCCGAGTGTGACAACAAAGGTTGGGAGTCAGAGAACACTTCCAGCAGAGGAGCATGCAAGCTACCCCATCAATCTTTTGAGCATCCAATGTCAAACCTTTGAGCATCAAATGCCAAACCTTTGACCAAACACAATAACCTGAGACTTTTTATCCTTTCCTTACTTGACTATCTCCCAAAGATAGCTTGGATCTTGACAGTTGTCAAATAGCTATAATTTATTGAAGGATTAACATTGTAATTAATTCTTTGATATCCAATGAACTCTAGTTTTATGATTCGTCTCAATTGTAAAACCGTGAAAGGGGCAATATTTTTAAACTTGGGATTAAACATTTTTGAAACTCTTTTAATTGATATTAAAAGAGAAAGAAAAACATTTTTTTCAACAAGACAGTCTCTCTAGAGTGGATCTTGGTAAATGACATGTGACTCTTAGACACAAAACTCATGCTCAGAATCAATGCTGAAGCAAGAAATGAGGAACATTTGGGGCATCTTTGAAGATTCAACATGAAATATTGGGGCATTTTTTTGGTCATCTTTGGGGATTCAACATCCTAATGCGAATTATCAGGCCTTTTTCAAGAGATAAAATATAACCAATTCATGTTATATGCATCTTATGCATACATTTTAGAGCATCATTTTTTCCCACATACATAATTTTTGCAGCTTTTAAAGTCAAGTTTCGACTTCAAGACGAATGATACTCGAATCAAAAGCACCTTTAAAGATTGATGTTGGTTGCTTAACTCAGCAGCAAGAAGCTACACTTCAACTAATTGACATATTGAAAGATCGACAGATCTTAGAATCAACTTCAGACGAGTTCGAGAGATAATTCAGAACCGATCCAGTTCGCATTTTCAAGTTGGATTTCAACTTCACGACGAAGGATATCCAATTCCTGGCTCAACTTCACGACGAAGGGGCCACCCACGATTTCAACTTCACGAAGGGAATCGTGCTCACCATTGTCTCTCTTGAGACAGTTTCCCTTGAAACAAACTTGTCTCTCTTGAGACAGTTTCCCTTGAAACAAAATTTTTTCTCCCTTGAGACAGTTTCTCTTGAAACATAAACATTGAAAACATTTCCTTGAAATGAGTTTTGTCTCTCTTGAGATAGTTTCCCTTGAAACAAAATTTTTCTCCCTTGAGACAGTTTCTCTTGAAACATAAACATTGGAAACATTTCCCTTGAAATGAATTTTGTCTCTCTTGAGATAGTTTCCCTTGAAACAAAATTTTGTCTCCCTTGAGACAGTTTCTCCTGAAACATAAACATTGAAACATTTCCCTTGAAATGAATTTCGTCTCTCTTGAGATAATTCCCTTGAAACAAATTTGTCTCCCTTGAGACAGTTTCTCTTAAAACACAAAACCTTTGAGATTGTTTCCCTCGAAACAAATTTTGTCTCCCACGAGACAGTTTCTCTTGAAACACAAAATCTTTGAATTTATCTCCCTTAAAACAAAATTCGTTTCTCATGAAACAACAGATATCTTTGAAATCGTTTCCCTTGAAACGAATTATGTCGCTTTTGAGGCAATTTCTCTTGAAGCATCATCTTTGAATATGTTTTCCTTGGAACTAATTCATCTCCCGTGAGACAATTTCTTTTGGAACTAAGTTTTGTCTCTCTGAGACAGTTTTTCTTAAAACAAAATTTTGTCTCCCTTAAGACCGTTTCCCTTGAAAGCAACAAATATCTTTGAGATCGTTTCCCTTGAAACGAGTTCTGTCTCTTTTGAGACAATTTCTCTTGAAGCATCATCTGAATCGTTACACTCAGCTCAGGCACATATTTGGGATAGCATTTCTCAAATCAAAAATAGAATGTGCACATCAGATTTGAACATTTGAAGAATTTGAGACCAGGATCAGAACTTGAAGATTCCAGAGCCAAGATTCCAGAAAAACAACCGGAGATCGAGATTTCTCTCCTGAGCCCAAAAATAACATATGTTGCATATGCATTTTAGGCATACCTAAGAGTATTGCATCCATAGCATCACATATATGCATAACTTTTTCAGGTTTTAGCTAGAGTCAATTTCAACTTCGCGGCGAATGATATTGAACTCAAAGCGACACAATTTGCTCGAGAGTGGATTTCAACTTCACGACGAAGGATATCTAGCTCGAAGCTAAACTTCACAATAAAGGGGTCTCCACGGTTTCAACTTCACGGCGAAGGGAATTGTGTCCACCCGCAACATACAATACTTGGATTTCAACTTCACGACGAAGGATATTCAAGTCAAGGCTCAACTTCACAACGAAGGGGCCATCTGCGATTTCAACTCCACGACGGAGGATATCGTGGCACTCGAGACAACACAAGTTCAACTTCACAACGAAGGGACGACTGGTTTTCAACAAACAACTTCTCAATTTCAGAGCCAATTTCAACTTCACAACGAAGAATATTGGACTCCAGACAACGCAAGTTCAACTTCACGGCGAAGGGACCGCTGCCTGTCAACAACAACTTCTCAATTTCAGAGCCAATTTCAACTTCACAACGAAGGATATTGGACTCCAGACAACGCAAGTTCAACTTCACGACGAAGGGACCGTGCTTTCAACAATAACTTCTTAATTTCAGAGCCAATTTCAACTTCACAACAAAGGATATTGACTTCAGACTTCACAGACAATTTCAACAAGTAAGAAGGGGACTTCAAGTCAAATTGTCCGGTGATAAGAAACCAGAAACCAAAGCTGAATACTATGTATGCTAGAAATATTAGAATGTCAATAATGTATTAATATGCCACTCTAGTAATATGTAAGTACACTTGCCACATTCAAACCATTGAGGGACCTGAATAAGAACAGCTATAAAGCATAAGCTACACTGTTTTAGGCAGAAAATCATCAAACAACAAAACCAGTACAAAAGAAAATTTCCCATGACAACGTATGGGTGTTGGCCAGTATCCACAGTAACACATAAGTCAACTAATCGAGCTATTAGTGTGTCAAAAAAAGGTTGGAAGTAAAAACCAATGACTTTGTGCAGGCTTGAATTATGGTTCCACTTTGTTTTTTAAGAATATTCAGTAAATACATAGCAACATGGCATTACATTAGGGACCCTAATAATAACACAAACAATCTATCAAGTCGGTGAGGATGACAAACAAGATTTCAGAAGTGAAGCAATATCTTGGAGTGCCATTTTTGAGCAATATACAATCAGTGGAATAAGGAGCCCACCTCTAACACTAGTTTTCCCCAAGTGATAGATGGTCATTTTGAATCTCAGATTGCAGAGCTTTAACAAGGTCTAATGAGCCTTCCCATAGCTTAAGTCCCCCTATACACCCAAGAAAAGCGGAAAAGGAAAAGCAATCATCACCACGTTTTCGTTATTTAAAAAGATCCTCAAAATGCATTCATCAGAAAAAGAAAATCAATATGAAAGCTAAAATGAAGTACAATAAAAAGATAAAAGAGGAAAACATCATTACAAACCTTCATAGATTCCAGGGACTAAATCAGAGTTAGGCAATCCAAGAACCTCATTAGTACTCACCCTTCCCTAAAGAATGGAAAACTTAGAGTTTAGCATTTTCGAATTTATAAAGACAATACTATCTACAAGAGAACTTTGATAAATCTTATGAATTATTATTCATTCTAAAACTACCTCAATACAAGCTTCTTCTTTTGTTCTCTTTAAAAACAGAGGTTAAAAGGTTCACCTTGAGTAAAGTAAGGCTACCTAAATTGACAGGCTCCACAGTGTATTTCACAGAAGAAGAAATCTACTTCAACTACGAAATCAACCAATCAAAAAAAAAGTTAACTCAAAAATCAAAGACAAAAGTAAGTTTAGAAATGGGAACCTCCGAGGATAGGACTTCGATGGAGGGAGGAGGAGGTGGCAGCGGCGGCTCCAACGACTCCAAGAATCCTAAACCCAAACTAGGTTTACCTTCAGCAGAATAAAACAGTTGAAATTTACCGTTGGTTGTCTCGTTACCTTCAAATAAACACAGTTGCAGACCAACAATGGCGGCCGAACCGCGAAGACGAGAACTTCTGTACTTCTTTTAGTACGTGGGTTACTACTTCAGGTCCTCGATATTGGACAATGGCCCATTACACTAAATCCGTAGATAGGGGAAAGTGAAATTAATGGATAAAAAAATAATGGTATTTAAAGTCCTCAAACTTTATAGAAAAATCGATGTGGTTCTTAAAACTATTTTACATTTAATGCGCTATTTTTTTACCAGCCCAAACCACAAAAAATATTCATTGTAGAGCTTTTAAAAAAAACATTCCTCAACACATAATTCTTTCTGGGTAAATTATAAATTGTTCATGTACTTTATCTATCTTAAAAGTTTTCAATTTTCATTAGACTTATGCATCGGTTTTTTTGTCACTGATCTTTACTTTCTTTCCTATTTTGCTCAATCATTCGTTTAAAAAAAATAAAATTTTCACCAAAACCATGTTGTTTTGCATCTATATAACATCTTATTTTAACGCAGTTAACTGTTTAACAGTCAAGTGACAAAAAAACCCCTAATCTTTTAATTTCAGTGAGAAATTGAAAATATTTAAAATACAATGATTGAAATAAGAGAGAGTAAATTTTAATTACCAAATTTGTAATTTACCATTTCTTTTTTCATTGTCATATTCAACTTCTAATGTCTATTGCACAAACCAAATGACTTTAATAGTCAAGGGAGTAGTTGTTATCTTTTGAGAACTTGAGTTTAAACATCTTTAATGCTAGGATATTAGCGTTCATTATTAAAAAATTAAAAAATATTTGAATAGATATCACTTTGTATTCACCACAATTTATAAAAAAAAGATAAATTACAAATTTCATCACTAAACTTTACTCTCTCTCATATTTTACTCACTGAACTTTAAAAATTTTCAATTTCCTCATTGAACTTAATACATTGGGTTTTTTTGTCACTTCGCCATTAAATAGTTAACGGTGTTAAAATAACACTGTTTAAAAAAAATTCACCAAAACATCGTTTGCATCTATATAAAAGCTCATTTATAATGTTGTTAGTGAGGAAACAACTGAATGACCGAAAAGCACAATGTACTAAATTCAATGAGAAAATTGAAAAGATTTAAATTACAGTGAGCGAAATAAGAGATAAAGTAAAATTCGATTATCAAATTTGTAATTTACCCTAAAAAAAAATTTGTAATGATTATTTTATTTTTTTTATTTATCAAAACGCACACTTCATAAAAAAATGTGATTTTCCTGAGAATTTTTTGTAGTTATTAATATTTAATTATCAATCGATTAATTTAGAATTTAGTTATGAATATTATAAAGGTTCATCATGAGGCAATCTTTTTAATTTAATTTATTTCATATTATGATTGAGCCTTGAATCGTACTTAAAATACTTAATTTTATATCAATTAAGAGAACACGTATTTGAATCTCATAAAACATAGTTACCGAGATTATTTAACTCGAACGCTACAATCCCCCATTTTTTGAGCAAATCTTTATAGATCTAAAGGTCCCATTCACTGTAACAACCATGGCATGACAAGTCCCTTTCAAAGTGTCGGCAGCAACCTCCAAACTTCACCTTATCACCATCTTCTCAGTCGCCTTTTTGGTCAAAAGTTGAGCGCTGAAAAAACCTTAATTTACTAGTCCATATAAAACAATTATTATGAACACTAAAATCATTCTAGTCTCTTGACCCGGTAAAAATTCCAGGCTTAAATTAAGGAGAAATGGAAGATCTGATTTCACCCTTTGAGATCCCCTAAACTAGATTACCCCAATTAAAACTCAAAAGAAGGTACAAACCTAGTTAGCTCCTACCCCCACCTAGTTGACGATCTCGGTGGTTAAAATAAGTATTATTATTCTTAGAAATTTCGAGTTCGAAATGTACATGTATACCATTGTGAAGCAATTAAGAAAATTTTAAACATATATTACCAGCTAAACACCCCACTATTCAAAAAAAGAATTTATGTTGATGCAGAAAACTAAATCCCCAAAAGCAAAAAAATCAAGACCAAATTTCAACATCATGGAGAAGCTCAATGCTTCCCCCATCACTACTAATTCATATTCTTATCGGACAGGTACATTCATTGAGATAGAGCTGCAGCACAAATGAAATGGTATACCCATACCTATGAATATTATATATTTATATCCTCTTGCTTCAACTGAAAGTAAAACAGCATTACCGATGATTTGATCCCAGCAAATCTGGGATTTGATCCCGACATTTGCGACGTTTTTTTCTATTCTCGAACTATGATCTTCATTGTCGGAAAAAACCAACATCACCAATGATTTTTCAATTTTAATAAATTCAAATGCCATCACCATAAGGAGGAAATGTATACTTATAGTCATCCGCATCTGCAAATCCGATACTAGGATCCTTCCCTTCTCTAATCATACCCCTAACACCCTCTATTCTTTCAAGAACTCCTTTAACTGCTAAATCGAATGAATCCTCGAGAGTCTCCGATCGAGATCTTGAACCTGCATAAACCACTCTTGGAATCAGCTTTATAACTTCCTCTCTCAAGGCCGATATTCTGTCTTCTGGAATCCGAAGCAATGTTTCGTTGAGGTTGATTTTCCATTCACTTAAATCCTTTACTGGTATATACACCGAGTATTGAGTATGATTCTTTGGTAAATGCCATATGTATTGAGCATATGCAGTACCTGGATGGAAAAACACCGGAATGCACCCTGCTAAAATCGAGTCGAAAATTGATCTCCTCGTGTATGAATCCCCAGGGGGCTGCAAGCAAAAGACCGAGCTACTGAATACCCTCATTACATTAACCGGGTTATCACAGTTTGTAGCACCATAATTACAATCCAGCAACTTGCACCGATTCTTTGAAGCTAAGCATTGATCGATAATCTTGCCTCGGATCGAATTCTGATATTCAGGCCTAGGGGCGCCAGCGAAAGAGAAGAGATACCTCCGTTTTTGCCTTCTCATTCGATCCTGCCACTGGAAAATCTCGCTGTCATTTGACGGATGGAAACATGTTGGATATGGAATTGCATAATCATTGTTCCAGGAGCTTGATTCTATCGACAACATCGACATGTTCTTGGACTCAGGCAAGAATCTAAGCTTGCTGCCCCAGTCGGATTCGTTATCGCTTTGTCTCCGGAAATCCCAAGCAATCCTTCCGGCAACCAAGAAATGATCCCTACCCCACATTCTTTTCCACTCAGGCTTCTCAGATAACCACTTAACAAGAGCAAGAGATGCAGAATCTCTCACAGTAATGTTGAAACCCCATAGATACAAGCTCATATCAAGACCGGCATAAAACGGCACAAAAACCGCCGATGCAATCGATGAATCGTTGGTTAAGCATTCATAACTTTTCATCCTGTTGTGAAAAATGACTTCCAATAAGAACTGATTTGTTAAAAACCAGCTATTGTTCAGCAAAACATCTTCAGGGTTATCGATTTCAGGACCGAAACCCAAGTTGTCCAAGTACGGACACATGTTCTTATCAGTTCCTCTAGTAAGCAACCGACAATTCTTAACCAAATCCTCATTAAATCTACTAGGAAGATCATGAACATATACATATCTACCCAAACAAGAATCAACCTCGGTTACCACTTTCAGCTCCTCATCTCCGTCGGCCATTTTTACAGATTCATCAGTTTTGGGCAATTGAGATATACTATTATTGGAAGTTTTAGTGAAATCGTGGGGTAAATAACTTTGGGTATCGACTAGAGTTCCATGAGAACCGTCCAAAACAGAGACAGCCCCAGATTTTTTAGCAGTAAAACCAGAGTAATCAAACCAAAGCAACTCGAGACAGAAAACAAAAAAGACTAGTAAGACAAACCAGGGCTGATTGGTGCAGCATTTTGCAGTGATGGGGTTTTCCATCTTCTCCAAGAAGGCTTTACTTCCTCTGGAACTGGTTGAAAACTAGAAGGGGAGATGATTGGAGCTGTTTTGAGAAGTGCATAAAATAGAAAGAAAAAGAGAAAGTAACGGACTTGATTTGTGGTGAGGTGAATCCAGTGACATTTAATGCTTGCATTGGTAGTTGGAGAAAGGGAGCTTCGACTTGTCTGGATTCGTGCTGAAAAGCATAGACCGAGGGAAGCGACCGGCAAGTCCGTTACTTTGTCGGCTGGGGTCACTCCTCTTTTGTTTTCTCTCGTCGTATCTAAAAAGGTGTTGGAGCAATGAATACTATTCGTTTGGCAACCATGGTTAAAAGAAAAATAAGGGTAAACTATTATTTTCATAATTATTATTGTATTTTTATTTTAATCATCAAACATTTTTATCAAAATGATCATTAATATTATTTTTCCCATTTTAGTGTTTGATTATCGAATTTAACATATTAAAATATTTGTGTAAGATAAGTAGATTTTAATCCCTAAATATTTTATTATGTGAGTATATATACTTAAGTAATTGACAAATAGACACGATATCTTTAAATTGTAATGTCACTTGTGCACATGATAATATACCTCACGTAAATACCTCTTGGAAAGGTTTTTGGTTTCATTGATATGTTCATATAACCGTGAATATCTTCTGCTTCTATAAGAGGTTTAGAGAATTATACCCTGATTTTCAATTTGAAGAAGTTCCCTACACTTATATTGCTCGGCTTACCGAAATACATAATGACCATTAAAAATATTACTTAACGCTTTTCACATTTTAATCACGTGTTTTTATCATAGAAATGAACTTGAGACAATAATCACCACAACGACCTCACAAAGTAGATTCTATTTCAACCTTGATATTGGGATCTCTAGTAAATTAGGTTGAGTTTTCTTTCACATAGTGCCTTAAATATTTATGGGCTTCAGTCTCATTTCTTTTAATGTTCTATCGACCTAGTCTTAGTTTAATCATTTGGTTAGCAGATTTGTAATGTTATCTTTCAATTTTTATAAAAATCAATAGAGATAACTCTAATTGAGATCATCTAAGAGTATTGTGTCAATGACACATCTGTATTAACTTTTCATTATATATATATATTACATTTTATTCTCTACCAATTATTGTTTGGTTATCACAATATAGATATATTGTCTAAAACTACACACTTAAATTTGATTCTTGATTTAGCTATAATCGTTTGTTTTAAGAATTTTCATGACATAATTCCTTCCTTAATATGAAAATATTTTCATTGTGCCTTTATTGTCTTAAATATCAGATATTCAACTGGTATTAGATAATTCTTCTAACATAGCATAATACATATAATAGTGTAATTCATAGTCATGAGTAAAGATATCTCAATACCATCACATCCATTTTCTCATGTCTTTTTTGATTTATCTATGAATCTTCTTAAATTACTCACAATATAAGTAATATTTGATCGAGTAAAACTCATAAGGCAGGACACATGATTCTCTATAACTCTTACATATTTTACTTGACCTACACTTTTACTTTTGTTTTTTAACAAATGTTAATTTTATCTATTAGAATTCTACTTACATCAAAATTATTATTGCTATTTTTTTAATTATTCACATAGTGTGATTAAGTCAATATGAGACATTCATATGACATTTTGATTTATATTCTCAAAATACATCAAATAATCACATATATTTTATGTTAAATTTTGAATTTAACATATCTATGGTACATTTGACCATTTCATCATTGCTCTTAAATTCATTTTGAAAATTTATCTTAACATATGAATACATGATTACGTATCTAATGAAAAAAATTTTGACATATAAAATTTTATCACATTCATTATTATTAAATTCATTTATCATCATAATACCATTATATTTTTCAAACTATTGCTTTGATGCTTGCGTAAGTCCATATAAAGACTTTATCCGTTTACAAACTCACGTACCATAGATTCTAAGGATAATACAATGGGCAATGAACTAATAAAAAAGGGTAAATGACAATTAACGATGATTTGATCTGAAATTGTAAAGTACATATTTGAAATAATCTGTTTTGAAAATAAAGGAACATATTTGAAATGGCACAGTCAATTTCGATTACCTACTTTTTATTCTGAAAAGTTCTGGTTTCGATATTGAATCTACAATTTAAAGTACATTTTTTCAGTATATAAAAATGATTTTATTACTTGCATCTGATCAGTATATGTTTTAAATTTAATAATTTTTTCATACGATACTATCTGTTTTATACATTAAATATTTTTTATTTATATTACTTGGTTGCCTCACTAAGTGAAAAGTTAATGTGTAATTGTTCACACGTAGGTACAAGTGAGTGAGCAAAGTACGGAGAGCGTCAACATCATTTTCGAGGAATCAGTTCTACCACCAAAATTAGTAAGTAAGGACATCCTGTTTGTTAATTTATTTATTTGTGGCATGTATATAAAAAAGTTTCTAGCTGCTCAGATTCGAATCTGTTTAATTTTTTTTTGGTTTAAGTTATGAAGGTTTAGTTTTAAAAAGGAGATTATTACTTATGAACAATAGTTTATTAAATCATAATTATTTATGATCGAAACGATTTTCAAATCAAACAGTTTTCTAGTAGTTTTGATTTATTATATGTTGCAATACAAAACTGCCTAAATGCTATCTGAATTGGATTCAATTTTGACATTTAAATATTAAATTATGATTTTATGTGATTATTAGTTTTAAAATAAATAAATGCACTTTAAAATTTTGAAGAAACAAAATTTTACTAATTTTCAAATAGCAAAGGTTTTATAAGACTGATGTGACATCTCTGACCCATATACGAGGACGTAAAAGGGAAAAGGGTGTTACATATAACTTCATTATTTATTTGAAGTTTGATTTCTAATATATAATTTAGAAGATTCAATTTAAAGGATTTTTCACTTCTATACTCTATCTCATTTTTAGCCTCTTGTTCGATAATTTAACTATCTTCATCGATAATATCTGAAGTCCATTTTAACAAACTTAAATCAATATTTCTAGTCCTACAAATATAATATGTTTTCAAAGAATGAGACATTCTTATATTCCAATATCATGTTTTTATAAATATTAGGATTCTTTGATTTATGTACAAGAAACTATTATAGTGTACATAACCAATGAAAATATAATATATTGTTTTAGAACCTATTTTCATTTTTTTGATAAAGGAGTCGTTACTTTTGCAAGATACTCTTACACTTTCAATTAGTTATAAGAAGTTTTTATGTTATTTCTTAACTTATATGATGTCTTATAATTTTTCTTACAAGACACCTTATTCAAAATGTTATTAGTTGATAGAACAACTTTCCTCCATATGTTATTTGATAACTTGAAGGTTTTCTAGCATTGTGTTGAAAACATTTTGATATTTCGATATAACAAATAAGTTAAATGAATTTTAAGATTTTCCAAATGATTTTCTAAGTATATTCGATAGAATTATTCGAATATCAAAACATTACTCTAAACCTTTCAAAGATTATTTTTAATCCTTACTCAAAGTGTAAAATTAAGTTTTAATATTAAAACAATTTCAAAATAATTTTACAAAGTATTTTCGAACCATTTCAAAACCAAAAATTCCAGATTGCTTAGAGGGAACCGATTCCCTCCCTAAGGGGGTACCGATTCCCCCTAAATGGTTTGGCTCTAGAATTCCAGTATGCTCGGAGGGAACCGATTCCCCCCCAGGGGGTACCGATTCCCCCCTTGTATAACGGTCGAAATATTTGAATTTTACACTTAGGGAATCGATTCCCCATAGGGGGTACCGATTCCCCCCACGCTCCAAACTGTTTTATTAATTGTTTTCACACTAAAACAACTATATTATTTTCTCTAATTATCCCCAACGTTCAAAGTGATTCAAGGTGTATTTAAGCAAGCTTAGAAACCATTAATCAATAACAAGAAACATCAAGCAATTAGAATCAAGAGAGAATCAAAGAGAAAGCATCAAACCTCAAGTTTGAGCATTTCAAGCCTATTTTTCATTCAATATTCATTTTACTTTCAAGAACACTTATTGTGCTCAATTGTATTTATTCTTGAGTGTTCTTTCTTTGTTCTAGAATTGTGCAAACATATTTGCCTTGTGAGGTTTTTCTTGTAAGTTTACAAATTTGTATTTCTCTTTGAGAAAAGAGTGTTCTCAAGAATTAGGGTATATTCTTGAGGGAGTTGTAAGGTTATCTATTTGGCCTCAAAAGAAAGAAAAAATTAGTGAATTTGTTGGAAAATCCTTAGTGTGGATAGCTAAGGTAGTGGACGTAGACTTTGGTTGATAAAGTCGAACCACTCTAAATCGCTGTGCAATTTCTTTCAATTTTCTGCAAAAGCTTCCACCAAAATTTTTATTGCCAATTCACCTCCCTCTTGGCAGTCAATCGATTAACTCAACAATTGGCATCAGAGCCTAACTCATTTGAAGGTTTAATCACCTCTTGAGTCGATTCGGGAATAGTTATATCGATAATCAAAGTCATCAATGGCCTCCGCTTCAAACTTCGACTCCGGTCTCGACTCGATGCCCGTCAACAAGCCTCCTTTCTTCAATGGAGCTAACTATGCCTATTGGAAGAATAGAATGATGTACTTCATTCAAGCAAGTGACATAGGAGCATGGAATGTTGTAGAAGAAGGATACATCAAACCTCTCACTCATCCAAGGTTGTGGAGTGAAGGAGAGACAAGAATGTTCCAGCTCAACTCCAAAGCCATCCATATCATTTTTTGTGCTCTTGGACCAGATGAATACGGAAGAGTTTCATCGTGTACAACCGCCAAAGAAATATGGGACAAACTTCAAGTCACTCATGAAGGTACCGATGAGGTAAAGAAATCTAAAATTAGTATTCTAACGCATAGCTATGAAAATTCCAGGATGAAACCAAATGAAGATATCAAAGCTATGACGGATAGATTTTCAACGATTGTCAATGGTCTCAAATCATATGGAGAGATCATTTCAAATCAAAAGCTTGTGAGGAAGTTCGTCTACTCCCTCCCAAAATCGTGGCAATCAAAGAAGACGACAATCATCAAGTCTAAGGACTTAACGTCCTTAACTCTTGAAGAGTTAATTGGGTCACTCCTCACTCATGAAATGATGATCGAAGATGAGGTGGACCTCGACAAGATTGACGAGACACCAAAGGAGAAGGAGAAGAAGAAAAACATTGGAGTTGCTCTCAA